AAACCTATTTAGATAGCTGTATTCAAGTCAATAGAGCTCACAAAATTCACAAAAGGTTGCTTAAGGAAATACCTGAAGCAATCTCGGAACCATTTTGGGATTATATCAGAAAAGCCATGGAGGATGGCTGAAACCCCTGAGAATTGGAAAAGAAAACATAACACCTGGTTTTTTTAGGGGAGCAAAGAGGACCCAGAGCAATTTGGCCTGATTTTCATAACTTATTCCAGTATCTTTACAGATACTACACTCTGGCTACGTCTAGACCGGCATGATTTTCCGCAAATGCTTTTAATGGAAAAGTTTTTCCGTTAAAAGCATTTGCGGAAAAGAGCATCTAGATTGGCACGGATGCTTTTGCGCAAAAGCACTTTCTGCGGAAAAGCGTCCGTGCCAATCTAGACGCGCTTTTGTGCAAGAAAGACCCTATAGCCATTTTCGCCATCAGGGCTTTTTTGCACAAAACAGTCCTGAGCTGTCTAAACTTTTTCCCCGAACGGGAGCATCATAGTATTGGCGGAAGATCACTGACAATCTTACATCAGATTGTCAGTGTTCTTGCGCAAATTCAAGTGGCCAGTGTAGACAGCTGGCAAGTTTTTCCGCAAAAGCAACTACTTTTGCAGAAAAACTTGCCAGTCTAGACACAGCCATTAATCAATTTGTAAGCACTAAAGGATAATAGAGTGACAAATAACCAGCATGGATTGGTCAGGAACAGATGTTGCCAAAACAGTCTAATTTCATTCTTTGACAAGGTGCTGGCCTATTGGATGGGGGCGGGGGAGAGAAGTAGATTTGCTAGATCTTTATTTTAGTAAAGTTTTGGGCACCTTCTCACATACAGTCTCATAAATTAAAAAAGGGAAACGTGGTCTAGATGAAAGTACTATAAAGTAGATGCACAACTAGTTGAAAGACTGCACTCAGAGTTAATATCAGTGATTCACTCTCAAACTGAGAGGGTGGGTATTCTGTGAGGTCCTGCATAGATCCATTCTGGGTCTAGTTTAGTTTAATATTTTCATTGATGATTTGGGTAATGCGGTGGAGAATATGCTTTTAAAATACATGGATTACACCAGTCTCTGTGGGTGTGAGATACTGGGGTTGCTAGTACTTTGGAGGACGGGATTGGAATTCAAAATTACCTTGATAAATTGTACTTGGTCTGAACTCAACTAGATTAAATTCAATAAAAGTAAATGCAAAGAGTCACATTTAGAACAAAACAATCAATTGCAGAACTACAAAATGAAGAATAACTGATTAAGCAGTATGACTGCTGAAAAGTGTGTGGTGGTTCTAGTGGATCACAAATTGAATCTGAGTCAACATTATGATGCAGTTGTGAAAAAGGGAAAATATAATTCTGTGGTTTCTTAGTGTCACATTTAAAAGAGAGGTAATTTTCTCATTCTGGCCCTGGGAGCCATCTATCAGCTGGAGTATTGTATTCAGTTCTGGCTGCCATGTTAAAAAAGATTTGGGCTACTTGGAGAGAATCTAGATGTGAATAACAAATTCAGTAAAACTCCGATGGTCCGGCATCTGACGGTCCGGCACTCCTGATGGTCCGGCCCCATCAGGAACCCGGAAGTGCTCCGGGCAGCCGGACCATTGGAGCTGCTCTGCCCCCAGCTTCCCCGATTCAGCCGCTGCTGAAATTGACCAGCGGCTGACTCCAGGAAGCCCGGGGCAGAGCAGCTCTGCCTCTGGTTTTCTGGAGTCAGCTGCTGATAAGTTTCAGCAGCAGCTGACTTGGGGACACCTGGGGCAGAGCCGGACTATCAGAAGGGAGGGCTATGAGGGGGTCTGGGGTAGCATCCCCCCCCCCCACCCCAGACCCCTCATAGCCCCCCCTTCTGATAGTCCGGCTCTGCCCCAGGAGTCCCCGATTCAGCCGCTGCTGAAATTGACCAGCGGCTGACTCCAGGAAGCCCGGGGCAGAGCAGCTCTGCCTCTGGTTTTCTGGAGTCAGCTGCTGATAAGTTTCAGCAGCAGCTGACTTGGGGACACCTGGGGCAGAGCCGGACTATCAGAAGGGAGGGCTATGAGGGGGTCTGGGGTAGCATCCCCCCCCCCCACCCCAGACCCCTCATAGCCCCCCCTTCTGATAGTCCGGCTCTGCCCCAGGAGTCCCCGATTCAGCCGCTGCTGAAATTGACCAGCGGCTGACTCCAGGAAGCCCGGGGCAGAGCAGCTCTGCCTCTGGTTTTCTGGAGTCAGCTGCTGATAAGTTTCAGCAGCAGCTGACTTGGGGACACCTGGGGCAGAGCCGGACTATCAGAAGGGAGGGCTATGAGGGGGTCTGGGGTAGCATCCCCCCCCCCCACCCCAGACCCCTCATAGCCCCCCCTTCTGATAGTCCGGCTCTGCCCCAGGAGTCCCCGATTCAGCCGCTGCTGAAATTGACCAGCGGCTGACTCCAGGAAGCCCGGGGCAGAGCAGCTCTGCCTCTGGTTTTCTGGAGTCAGCTGCTGATAAGTTTCAGCAGCAGCTGACTTGGGGACACCTGGGGCAGAGCCGGACTATCAGAAGGGAGGGCTATGAGGGGGTCTGGGGTAGCATCCCCCCCCCCCACCCCAGACCCCTCATAGCCCCCCCTTCTGATAGTCCGGCATATCTGATAATCCGGCACCCCCTGGGTCTTAAAGGTGGCGGATTATCGGAAGTTTACTGTATGATAAAAACCTCACCTATGCAAAAAGATTAAGAAACTAAGTATGTTTAGTTTTCAAAAATGAAGACTGAGGAAGACCGGATGATGGTTTTTAAATATGTTAAGAGCTGTTAGAAAGAATAGCAGGGATCAGTTTTCTTTATGCCCACTGAAGATAGGACAAGAAGTAATCAACTTCTTCATCAGCAAGAGACATTTGGCATGTATATTAGAAAAAGGTTTCCAGCTGTAAGGTATGTCCTGGAATAGGTTAGCAAGAGTGGTTGTAGAATCCCCATTATTGGAGGTTTTTAAGAGAAGACTAGATGAATACCTGTAAAAGTTTGATCCATGATTTAGTTATAGTATAGAGAGTACTATTATTATGTTTGCAGATGGTACCAAACTGGGAGGGTTTGCAACTGTTTCGGAGGATAGGGTCATAATTCAAAATGATCTGGACAAACTAGAGAAACTAGAGAAATTATCTGAGATAAATAGGATGAAGACATTGAACAGAACTGGTCCCAAAACAGACCCCCGTGGAACCCCACTTGTTATGCACTTCAAGCAGGATTGTGAACCATTGATGACTACTCTCTGAGAATGGTTATCTAGTCAGTTATGCACTCACTTTATAGTAGCCCACTCTAAGTTGTATTTGCATAGTTTATTGGTAAGAAGATCATGCGAGACCCTATCAAACGCCTTACTAATGTCTAGGCCTGATAATAGGTTCCTTACTGAGATGTATATAAGTTGTACTAACAATAAAATTGGTGACACGCAAACTTTTTGAGTTTTATTTTATATAGACAAGTATACTTAAAATTATAAAAAATAAAATAAAGCAAAATAAATCCAATAAAATGATCCCCAATATTGTGTATACTCACACTCTTGTGGAGACTATTAGAAGAGTAGATGGAAAGAAAAGTAAGTGGACAACACCATAAAAAGGCATGATGGTACTAAGGCTTCTGCCATTCTTTCATCTCTAAAGATTGATCTGCCTATCTTATATTTTATGTCTGAGACGGCCAGAAAGGATAATGCATAATGGCATAGTTAAGAGCCATCTGTATTTTATGCCATTTGCCAGTTCAGATACTCCTGCCTTAGTTGCATATAATCTTAATTATTTTGTTCTCAGAATGTAGAGACTCTGATACCAGAAACCAAACTGAATAAAAATCAGACCTCCATGTTGTATTCCATGTGTTTAAAAGAAGCAACTAAGTGGGAGTTGGTGTAGATGATCATAGAGGATGTTATAGGAGTACCCAAATGGTAACCGTAAATTCAAAGGCACTTTTGGTAAAACTGCATGAGCCTATGCCTGGGTAAATTCAAAGCTGCATCACTGTGAACACCTACTTCCACACTAAGTTGCTGGGCTCTTCTCAGCAGGAGCTCTTTCAGAGCAATAGGTCCTTATTTTGGTGCTCAAAAATGCATGCTTGAGGTTCAGTGCTGCCAGAAATGCACAAGGACCCTTTCCTGAAACTGGAAAAACAAAGTTTGCTTCAGCATAAACTTAAATAAAGAATGGGGGAGGGAATCCATGAAGTGGATTCGGCTGCACTTTAGTTATTGTGAATATATTTCTCAGTTAAGAACAGAGTAGGTGTTTAAGTAAGGGTTAAGTACATTAGTAAGTGTTGCTTTGGAAAACTAGCGAACTAGATAATTGGAAAAGACTTCCTGCCAAATGATGTCAGTGAGACATGGAAGTAAAATAGGAGATGGTAACAGTAAATTGAGATGCAGAAAAGTGACATGGGGCCTAATTTATGTAATGATATTTCTGAACTCAAACTAAAGGTACATTTACCCCATGGGAATACTTATGAGTGGCCATCATATAGTCTAAAAATCTGTTCTCAACACCTTCTCATGAAGAAGTGTTGTGGGTACAGATGTTAGCTATCATATATAATTGAATAGTTATGTAACCACACAAAATATTGTCAGTTACATGACTATTCGATAGTCCCTGGAGGCGGGGGCAGCAGCCCCTGCAGGGAGGGCTGGTTTGTGAGGGGAGCCAGTTTAAAAACCTGCTTCCCACGTAGACCAGCTGCCTGCCACCCTATGCTGCTGCCTCTGATACCACACAGCCAATGCTGGGAGTCAGCTGGCTTTTAAGCTGGCTTCTCCCAGCATCAGCTCCCTCCCCCCCACCTCCTTGCTGCCTCTGATATAGATATACAGGCTTTTCTTATACCTGTTGATAGAGATTAAGATTTTGATGTAGTTGCTAAACAGAGGAATTTCAGTAAAATCTTACTAGCTTCCAACAGAAGAAAAGTACAGTTGTGAGTTCTCAGACTGGACATTTAAAGGTGTAAAGCTTAGCATATCTAGGAAAGAGCAGCGAATGTGCATGATTGCAGTGACTTTACATGTAGAAGTACAGGCAGTCCCCGGGTTACGTACAAGATAGGGACTGTAGGTTTGTTCTTAAGTTGAATCTGTATGTAAGTCGGAACTGTAAGTTGCTCTGCCCCGGGCTTCCTGGAATCAGCCGCTGATCAGTTTCAACAGCGGCTGAATCTGGACGCCTGGGACAGAGCAGCTGGGGCGCTGCTGGGTAGGTCCCCGCAGTGCCGCACCTCGGCGCTGCGGGGACAAACCCGGCAGCACCCCAGCTGCTCTACCCCAGGTGTCCCCAAGTCAGCGTCCCACTGCTCCCGTCCTCCGGGGTGAGAAAAGCCCCGTTCGTAACTGCGGATGCGACGTAAGTCGGATCCACGTAACTCGGGGACTGCCCGTATCTAAAAGACTGTCAGAGAAAGGGGGGGAGGGTCAGGGGGGAGAAATTGTTTTCCGTGGCCTCTGATGATAGGACAAGAAGCAGTGGGCTTAAACTTTAGCAAGGGAGGTTTAGGTCGGACATCAGGAAAAACTTTGTTTCAGGGTGGTTAAACACTGGAATAAATTGCCTAGAGAGAGATTGTGGAATCTCCATCATGGGAGAACAGGTTGGATAGACATCTATCAGGGATGGTCTAGACGGTGCTTGGTCCTGCTGTGAGGGCAGGGGACTGGACTTGATGATCTCTCGAGGTCCCTTCCAGTTCTAGTATTCTATGATTCTATAGGCATATTGTCTCTCATGGGGAGTGCTCATCTGAGTATAGAAGCATATGCTGCAAAAATAATGTATTCTTATGTTAAACATATGTGAAGAGTGAGTAGGTGGGTGATTTTCTGTCAATGTAAATGTTTTGTTTTTCTTCTTTCCTCCTTGCCCCTCTCCTGCCTTTCCAGTATTGGATACTAATGACCGATTCCTACGAAAAATTACAATTGGACAGGCAAATACTGAGAAGGGATTTTTTCGACAGGTATGTACTATAACATTAGATACTGATGTTTTACCGAGCAGAATTTGCTTTGAAACGTGAAGAATATTTTCTCTTCCACAGTCTTTCCAGTAAATTGTTTAGGATTAGGTTATCAGAATCTAATTGATATGTGTGTATCCTCACAATGAAACTGGAAGCACTAACGAAGAACTAAGACTAATTCTACATTGCCAATTTACCGTGCTGCAATTTTCTGGCTCTGTCGTGTGAAAGAACACCCTCCCCCCTCGAGGACAGTAAGTTACAGCAGTGTAAAGCGCCACTGTACAAGATCTCCCTCCCAGCACTGTTAGCTGCTCCCTTTGTGGAGGTGGTTTATATAGAGTTATGGCAACGCTTTCACTTTAAAGCCATAGCTGCACTTCAATTTTTGAAATGTAGACAAAGCTTAAGGGTATGCTGCCTGGTGTTCCAAAAGTAGAGTTAAAAAAATCTGTTGGTATCTGTAAATAGTAACTTCCAGAGTCTTGCCCCATATGCTAAAGTGAGCCTAGCAATGAAATAATGTATGCAACATTTTATAGTTTGAAAATTTATAACATTTTCTGCCCTACTTAAATGTTGTTATCTTTTGCTTAGGTCCTCAGTTGAGTTTTGTTTAATGATTATTAGGTCTGTCAAGTGATTCAAAATTTTAATTGCATTTTAAAAAATTTTAAAAATTTAATTGCGCACAACTCTGGCATTCAAAGCTGTATAGAGCCCGCGCTCCACCTTGCTCTGCCTTTTTGAAATGCCGTGGCGGTGCTTCCATGGGGCAGCACAAGACAGAGCCTGGTGTCAACTGGAGTCCCCAACTAACCCTGAGCTCCATGCAGTGCTGACCCTTTAAGGCGCTGGAGCGACACTTCAAAGAGTCAGCACATTAGGAGCTGGGGATCAGCTGAGGACTCCAGCTGATCCCCCAGCTCCACATTGCAAAGCCCCCTTGAAGTGCTGGAGCAGAGTCTCCAGCTGATCCCTGGCTCCTAACGTGCTGCTCCTTTAAAGCACCAAAACTGTACTTCAAAGAGGCGGCGCAAGTGGAGCTGCGGATCAGCTGGGGACTCCAACTGATCCGCTTGCATTGCCCCTTTGACATGCTGCTCCAGCAACTTAAAGGGACAGTGCTGCATGTTGCCCAGGATCAGCTGGGGAGCGGCACTTCAAAGGGGCTTTGCAAAGTGGAGCACGGGATCAGCTGGATATTCCAGCTGATCCCTGGCTCCACTTGCGCTGACTGGCACTTCAAAGAGGCAGCACAGCATTAACACCTGCGATTAATGTGTTAATTTTTTTAATGTGTTAATCCTGTCCTGCGTTAATTGCACGCATTAATGCAGGTCAGTTGACAGCCCTAATGATTAGTTATTTGATTTGAATGTGGAAAAAAAGATGATTCTTCATGTGCTTTATTTGCTCTCGGTATAACTTACAATGCATTATAATTTTCTTTATTTTCTCATACATTACAGACTTGGGTCCTTAAACTGTAGACTTAAGCATGAGCTTAATTTTAATTGAAGTCAGTGGAACTGCTAAGTATATATAATTTAAGTATATGTGAGAGTCTTTGAAGTTTCAGCAGATTGCACCATTTCACAAGAGCCAGTTGGAAACAGTTAATACAGAACTTTCTACTAAACTTAAAACTAACATCTATTGATTTTAAATACACCAGGTTTCTTGAGCCAAGGTTTATACAAATGGGATGCGTCTAGACTGGCAAGATTTTGCGCAAAAGCGGCCACTTTTGCACAAAAACTTGCCAGCTGTCTACACTGGCCGCTTGAATTTGCGCAAGAACACTGACTTTGTAATGTACAAAATCAGTGCTTCTTGCACAAATACCTTCACTCTCCCACTCATGAAAAAGCCCTCTTGCGCAACATTTCACTAAACATTTCTGCAAGGTAATCGGTGGTAATATTCTGACCCGTATCCCCACTACAGATAGTTTATGACTAAAATTATCTTCATTTGATAGTATTGAGAGTATACACAATAATTGAATCAAACTGGAAATGGGTGAAAATTTTCCTTGCAAATATGACGTATATCAGGGGTTCCCAAACTTTTTGACACGGGGACCAGTAAATCCATTCATGAACTTTTGGAGTAGCAGTAATGTTCATTTGCATATTTGTATATTCATTAATCAAATGATTAATATTCAAATAAGTTGTGTCTGGGCCTCCCAGATCTCCCAGTGCCAGCTTTAGCAAAGCTTTTGATATGGTCACCCACAATATTCTTGCCAGAAAGTTAAGGAATATGGATTGGATAAATGGGCTGTAAGACAGACAGAAAACTGGTTAGACCAGGGTTTCCCAAACTTTTTACTTTAATTGGAACCCTTTTTTTTCAGTTCTGCTTTTTGCAGCCCCAAAATATAAACACATGAAAAACAAACTGAGAAAATACCAGACATATAACATGTCTGGTATTTTCTCAGCAGGTAAGTTTTATTATTACTAGATGTATCAGTTTGTAGTTTCGAACTGCCTGGCTGATAAATGTGCTCAGGCTGCATGTGTGTGTCTACCAGCCAGATAGTTCGCAACTACTCGAGGGTGTGTGTGTGTGTGTGTGTGTGTGTGTGTGGGGTGGGGGTCAGTAGAATCCCTGTGCCGGACTAACTTGTGCTTTGTGGGGGGGGGAGAGGGGAACGGGGTCGAGTCAGTCCCACTCCCTGCAGGCCAATTCATTCCTCCCCTCTGCTCCCCTTGCTGCGCCTCTGGCCAGCCCCACTTCCCCCAGCCCCCTCCTGGGCAGCCAGTTCTCCCCCGCTTTTCTTCCCAATCTCCCTTGGCCAGCCCAACTGCCTGCATCCAGCCCTCCTTCCAGCGGCCGCTTCTCCCCCCCCGCCCACATCTTCCCCCGCCAGC